TTCTTTGCTAGCCATTGGAGGTGGTATTGATGTATGGGGCATTCGGTATTCTCCTGAAGATGCTGAATGCTGCCTCCTCCTCTGAGACTTGCAATAGCTGTTGAGGAGGAGCCAAAGTACACATTCTATCACTTGAACTGTGTGTGTTCTATTCATTATGCTATATTTATACTAAGTATCTGAAAGTCACATCTATGTTCTGCTTTAAAAAGAAAAGAGAAAGAATACTTTTATTTGGTCAATTCACTTATGTTTGGGGAAAGCAAGATAAAAGGTTTAATCTGAACTGGTTTTAGTTACACTTGTTACATAAAGAGGTTTCAATTATAAACGAGATTTTTAAAACACTATATTTAAAATACTGCATAGTCATGACAAGTAGTTCACCTAGTTGCTTTGATATATGTGTAAGTAAAGTAGCAGGGACACATTGGGATTCCCAGTAAATCCACACTTACAATCCAAATGCCCTATTTTTTATTATGGCTACAAGTTACTGCATGCCTATAAGTCTTACGTCTATTTCCTTTGAGACAAGGGTGCATTGGTAGCTTATTAATTATAAAATGAGCTCATAGTTGTTACATAGTACTCTGCAAATCTGCTAGCATGTTTTATAAGCCACTGAATACATAAGGACTATTTAAACCCAGCAATGTTCCCTTTTAAATAAGCCACCAATCACTTGGGATAATGGTTACATATGGTAAAATTACATAGATCATATTCATGAAAACAAACAGATCTTCCTGGTATTCCTCCTTTTTTCTTACTGAAACTCTTTTTTTTTTTTTTGTAGTATTTTAAGCAGTATGGTAGAAACATGGTTGTGTCTGTGTACACTCCCCCGCCCCCACCCCGAAATCTGCACTGCATCAATGCATGTAAAGAAAAGGAATTAAAATGAATTATGAAAAACTGAGTTCTCAGTAGTTTAATTCATGTATTACCAAAAAAATGTTGGTAAATAGTAAAAACAGTGTAATTTGCTAATAATATGTGGCAAAATAATGTAAACATGGGCTGAAACAATCTCATGTTTTGCTTTAGTTTGTCGTTCAAAACATTTAACTCGAAATTTCTCATACTATCTCATGTACCTTGTCTACTTAGAATACAGAAAATATCAGAGAAATGCTATTAGTTCAAGGCATGAAACAGTTAACAGTAGTGTACATGCCAAGGTTTTAATAAGGCTTAACAATAAAAAGCTTCAATCCTCTACTTTCACTAGATTTTGTTGTTGTGGTTTTCCCTTGCTTAGGGCAATCCATCTGTTAATGTTGACTTGCAATACAGCTAAGCTCCCGCACACACAAAAAGCCCAGAATAGCTAACCTAAGCAAGAGTGGGCTCAAACATATATGAGAGAGAGAGAACAATTTTTCTAACACTATCTTAGGCTAAGTTGAATTGTGTTTTTTTTTGTTTTGTTTTTTGTTTTGCTTTCCTTGGGAAAGATTTCCCAAATGCTAATTAAAGGAAACCAATATAAACACTATAGTTTGTGATAACAGATTTAATTATTTATCCTCTGATTAAGCTTCAGCAGCTCTTTTACATATCATAATTCATTCTGATTTTTTTTAAAGTCTATTTTTTTTTTAAAACAACCACAAGGGCAATGATAAAGATTAGTAAATATTCATTGTTAAAAATGGCTCTGCATTGTGACCAGTGCCGGTATTCTCACTGGGCCAAACTGGCCTTGTTTTCAATAAAACCAGAGAAGAATCCTTTCCCTTGAGCCCTGTTAGGCTGAGGCTGCAGTTGGAACTGTCATCTTCACACAAAAGCAAAGGGGTTGGGTTTTACAAACGCAAAGCCTAATTGGAAGATCTTCATGGCTGTACCCTTGACATTTATTTAAGCCTCATCAACAAAACAGGAAATAACCGTACTAATTAGTAGACCAGCATACAAACTACTATTTGTTGGGGTAAAAAGCAGATTCACATTCTATTGTACAAAATCTCCTGGTAATGAAACAGTCATTAAACTGATCTCTAGAATCAAGAGAACTTCAGCATCATACACTATTTTATAAAGTATTTTTTTTAAATTATAAACAATATTTTTGAATTAATTTCAAATGACTAATTTGACATTTATGGTTTACTGGAAAGCAGCAATGGGGAAATAAAAACTCCCATCAATAGGCCTGACATGAAACAGAAAGTGTAACATTAAATTCTTTATGTTGCAGTACTTTAAAATGACTTACTGTGAGATGGTTGATAATGGGGATGGAGGAGTGGGGGTGTGGGTGAAGCCCTCATTGTCTTGAGGTAAGAAGACTTAAAAATCTACACTGTCTGGGATTTTAGAAGTATTCTCATAGTTGATTTTTCAATGAACCAACCTTTATCCATTATTTAAAATGTATATTTAAATGCATAAGCTACTGTGTGACCATTAGCACTATCTTATTTTTCAGTGACTACAGTGAGATGACAGTGAGCAGCGCCATTTTAGAAACCTGGACAAAAAGATTAATCAGCAGGAAGGAAAGCTCCAGACAAAGCTCTACAATTATGAAGTGTAGCAATGAATGCAATTCATTTGCTTTTAATAATAATATTAATAATAATAAGTAATATAATTTATATAGATGCAAGCTCTCAAAGCCAGCAGTTAGTTCAATGGATCTTGCATTATTGTTAGCTGATGCTAAGAGCCTCCATGTTTAAAAACAGCACCAATTATAACATGTAGGACAGCCTGAGACTCCATATAGATAATGATGTTTTGGAACCACAAAGCCCAGTTTGCATTTTTTGGAACTGTAGAAGACCAAACTTCTTGGTCTGTGATTACAGCTTGTTGTTTCCTGCCTACTGAGTGCATGTGACATTCAGGGTAGAGGATGGGGTGGGGACATGGGTCATGCTGCTCTCTCAGCTCGGCAAAGATATGGACCCATTAGTAACAGAGCTTGTCTTGTAAACAACCCCCCGCTTTTTAAAGAGCATTAAGATTTTCCTTGCTCTATATAGGACAAAAAAAATCTCAGCTGTTCTGACCTGATACACTGTATCATTCTGAAAGAAGTGTATGCTGTTTCACAAATAAAAAGTTGGCTAGTTGTCAGAAAAGATGTACTAAATCTCAGTATTATACGATTGTATGAATGAAAAATCATATAAATGTTTAAGTATTCTACAATAACAGTCCTTCAGAAGAAACATTAGTATCTAATAATAAAATTTACTTTGGTACAATTTATTGATGTTGACTCCAGTACTAAAATTAAACAGTTAAAGTGGAACAGCAGACAGACCTGACCATGAAGTAAATTAATAAGCTAACAGTTTTTCTATATGTGCAGCATTTAAAAGCATCTGAATGTGCAGACACATATTTTAGCTATATTTGTGTTGTACATTTGCATAAAAGTTTAAGTGAACATATAAACAGATTTGGGTATGTGTTTCTACAGTGTACTGAAAAAAGCAGTGTTATGCGACACAGATGTGGTTAAAGAAAAAGTTTCTGTATATTAGAATGACAGTTACCAATTAAAAATAAATATCAATCTCTGTTATAAATACTACATTTTTAAAATTCTAAATGTATCTGCATATCTTCTTTCTCAACAGTCAAGGCAGGAAATTTAAACTATACAAGGTTCTTGAAAGAAAGGACGCACTGTGTTAGTCTATGTGAAAATACAATGACAGCACACACTTGCCGACTTTAGTATTACTGTATTTAAAAAGAAACCCGAAAAACATGTTACAGAAGAGAATCCACCTGCATAATTAAAATAGATCTGCCTACATTATTTATACCACTGGAACCAATGGCCTCAGTATTACCATACATTTTCTAACATTCTACTGAGCATGTCATTAATCTACCCTAATTGTATATTAGTTTCCACAAACACTTTCTATTTTATCAGTCAAAACACCTGAATGCATGGGCTTACAAAATTAGAATTTTATCATAACATTATTATTATATATAAAGTAAAATAGTGTCAATAGTCCGGTAAATTCAACTGTCAATTCGAAGACCTACAGTACACACTTCTTATCTAAGGAAGAAACATTTGTGGTATCGAAAGCAGGAGTTTGTATATATTATTAAAAATATATATTCTTATTCAAAAGAGATCACAAAACCCCGAGACTGTTTATTACTCTGTATAGAATAAAGCAATAATTCAAATAGAATTTGGGCATTCGGGAATTAGTACTGGGCTAAAACCGAGATATTACACCTGTTATAGAGAACCAGACCCATTAAAGGAACTGAGAACAGAAAAACAAGACATCTGACACAGTGTTAGCTAATTGACTTAGTAGTAAATTCACTATATGATAATCAGCTTGAGCAAGGTCTGAATTAAAGGCATGCCCTCTCTCAAAATCAACTGGCTTTAGGTAAAGTATTAACACATACCACTGTATTTTAGGGTTGTAAAAAGACAGTTTATCAGTGAAAAGCGGCTTGGGCATACGTGAATATACCAGAATTCCTTTATTCAAAAACTAATATTCATGCTTGATCTGATATGTATGTTTTATGCCTATGAAATTATTTATCTAATGGGAGTCCATAAAAGATACATACTACTAAGTAAACTTTTCAATAGATCACACCTTCAATATTCCTAGCATTTATCTGTTTTGTACTCTTTGTACTTTTAAACAGTATTTATTAAATAATTTTAAATATTTGTTTGAAAATATAGTCCTATATCTAAGGATCAATTGTGATTTCTTTTCCTGGAGATGTACACCTGGCAACCTCATCTCCCTGCTGAATTTCCTATTTTTTCCCCTCCAGGAGGATGATATATGATAAGCCATTCTCTCAACTCTCAAAACAGCATATTATGCAAGCAGTATTATTGTGAATACTACTTATCATATTTCCTGAATACAGATAGTAATAAAGGTATTTACCATAATATTTTAACACATTACTGTAACAGGAAAACAGTTTCCCCCCATATTTTAAGAAAGTGATAGCAAAGGTTTCAGGTGACTTACCTGGGCAAGTCTTCGTTTTTCTGAGTTTCCTCTTTTCTGATTGTGTAAGGTGTACACTGGCGCACACTGTAGTACACCAGAGCTACAAGTTCCATATTCTTCATCACTCTCCTACACAACAGAATAGATTTAAAATCTCATGTTTACAATATTTATCTACATATCCTATGTATACATAGAGTACTAAAAATAATTTTGTTAATACAGATCATTTGTTACTAAATATTTGTCATAAGATCATATCTATTAACAAAATGAAATACAGCATTGCAGAAAGTTAATAGTTATCAAATGCCACAGAGTGAAGTTTTCAAATTAAGCTTTTAGAATGTATATAAAACAATTTAAATCCATTAATGTTTATGAAATTTTTTTTAAACTTTATATTTGAGAAAAGTATAAAATAACATTGAAGTTAGTTCCCCCTTCTCACAAGGATAATCATAAGTGAAGAAATAAAACTCATTAGGAAAACTGTCCTTAAATGCCTAAATCAAGCTTCATTCTGATATTTCTATGTTACTTTTCAAAGTTGAAATGTTTCTCTATTTTAAAACATTAACATTGTGCTCGGATCTTATGAATCCAAAACAGACAACTACACCTTCTGAATTACATTGTACTGCAAGACTATCCTGTCTTAAATTCTCAGCTTGAAGCAAAGGCTTCAATTGTGATATCAAAGCAATCAACTTTATGAAAACATACATCCTGTTAACGTATCTTTGAAGATCTCTGTTGTTCTATGATAAAATATGCAAACAATAAAGAGATTATTCAGTGGATGCATAGAATGACAGATAGTTGCCAGAGGGCTCGTTATGAAAAATGTATTGTTGAACAAAGGGCTAAGCATATTTCAAAAGTCATTAAAAACACAAATCTCATGTGATTTGTAAAGTATAAGCTTCAAACTGATACAAGAAGCAAGGTAAGAAAGTAAAATTGTATTACATACCTTGTGTTTTAACTTACTCCTCACTTCTTTCATTCCCTGCTTTGCATGACTTTTTGCCTAGAAAATTAAAACAAAAGGACTTAACTGGTGGTGCAAGAGATAGGCTTTGTTCAAAGAATATGCTTCATAAGGCCTACTTAATGAGAAATATTTTTTTAAATTTTATGTGATATAAGGATAATAATCTCTATCACTAATTTCACCTGGGCTGTATCAGTTAGCTATACTATGCTAATAGCAGTCAGTTAATAAGAGTTGTGCATACATGCCAATGTTGTGAAAACACACTAATTTTGCAAATGTATCCTCACCTATTGCTAAAAATGAACCATCCTACTGGTCTCTAGTGTCCATCCCTTTATTTGAGATGGTCCTTTAAATTTGAAGTAGTATTTTAATAGCAACTCATGTTGGAAAACTGTTAAGATTTTCAAGCTCACTGCTATAGTGTTCCAGTCTGGTAACTTGCAAGGCAACATCAATCTTAAAAGAAATGAAGTGGTTTTATATGCAGATGGAGAATTTCTCCAGCGTTGCTGAACAGCGTAGTGCTGATAGTTAGGGGGAAACTGTGTGCATTAAAATAGGCAGCCAAGTCCCATGATTGTTCATGACAATAATTTGCACAGAAAATGGACCCAAGGGCATCCTTCTATTTAGAGATGAATTACCATTCTAGATGACAAGTAATTATATTCTAAATTTTCTACATTTTATTTTTGATAGAAAAAATGCTAACCTGGTCTTAAGAGAAATAGGAAAGTTTTCCTTACATGAACCGCGTTAGATTCAAGTTAACTTTTAGAACCAATTTTCAAAAGTAGCCTTGAAAATTATGCCTATGACTTTTCACATTTAAGGGCGATATATGAAAAACTTCAGACTCTACCCATGAAAATCAGTGACACACACATCTTAATTATTGATTTGGCACCCAGGGAGATGTAGTTTGTGGGGAGAGTTATGAGTGTTTCCATATACAGATGCCCACTGACCTACGCAATTGTTCCATTCCGGAAAGCCTTGTGTAACTCGAATTTTGTGTAAATTGGAAACGTATACCCATACGTTACGCAAAAATTTCCGCACTTGAAAATCCTATTTCTGGCTTACGGAACCTTTTCTGTAAGTGCGAATTTGCGTAAGTCATGTCTTGCGTAACCTGGGGAGCGTCTGTACAACAACTTGGGATAGTTTTGATGGCCAGATTAGGGAACTTTTGAAAATGTGACCCTTAAATCATAAGCTCAGTAGCTCAATAACAAGGCAACAGGGTGCCATGTAGTAGATGCATGCATGTATGGAAGGGGAAAGGGCAAGAGAGGACATATAGGCCTGCTCCTGCACCTTGATCTATGCCTGACCATGCACAGATTCCCACTGAAATTAATAAGGCTTCTTACACACAAGGAGTCTGCTGATACAGAAAGTTGTAGGATCAGGGACATAATGGGCAAAATGGGTAGCTGGGAGGAAATCATGAAACCTCATCTAAGCTCATGAAAAATAGAGGAGGAGAATAATTTCCTGCTAGCCTGTTAATGAACCATTTTTAAATTATAAATGAGTGGGTGGTTATACAGTACCTTTAATTTATTTACCTGTTTCTTTCCTCATGACTTTTGTAAGAGTTTGAATTGATGTATAATTAAAAATTCTCTTTTTAAGTTTTATTTAAAATCTACTAGCATCACACTGTAGCACTGATTTATTCAGAACTACTTACTATGCATCAATCTAAAGAGCCCTTGGAAAAGCCAAAAGAAAGGCAGAGAAGATTCTTCCCCTGTGTGCTTTGAACCCAATCTTAAAATACTTATTGTGTCATTTCTTACAAACTACCACATTGTTTCTATACCCTGGATAATATAATGTAATTCACATTCTTTATGATCTAGGGATATTTAAAGATCATTTAAAAACTGGACTGCTTGTCAAACTGAAGACATAAAACTAGTTAAACAGCGTGTGGCAAGCTGGGGTGTAAATCTTCACTGCACTAGCCTGCTGCGCACTGCCAGTGTGGACCCTGCTACCATGCACTAAAAGTTCCCTAGAACACTTTGATCCTATTCCTGTTTCAAAGCGGGGTAGATCAAAATGCATCAGGTAACTTTTACATGCAGGTTCATGTAGACAGTTAGCATGTGACATGCTAGAGCGGTACAGATTTACACCCCAGCTTCATCTAGATGAGCTGTAAATCAAGGGCCAAGAGTGCAAGTCCATAACTTTTTGAATTAGTGCTATTTTATTAACACCATAACAATAAGTTTAAAAGATGCTCATACCCAGATAAGTAATAGTTTGCTTATGGTGGAAGTTTTGGACTGCAATTGTTCCTTGCACACAATATAAATGCTTCCCAACCCACTCTGGATAGGGTACCACTCAGTGTCAAAGTGGATTCCTTAGGGACATATTGTTATTTACACAAAGACTCCTTTACACCACCTAGAACTGTACACAACATTTATACTGACTTTTAATTTACACTGCCAGGGAGGAGTAAAGGGGCCTTAGTATACTACTAAGTAGTAATGAGATTTAGTATTTTCAGAGTCCATATTTTAAGATCATCAGTTAAGTAGAGGTTTTCAGCTGTATTTCAAATATGTAATAGGTATTCAAATAAGCATCTACTGTATATTTTGAATGAAGCCAAAAATAGCATACTGAACCACTTAAAACAGTAACATAGAGTGGTTATTGTTCCCTCACAAGATAGGAATAAAAGATGAAAACAATTTCTTAGGCTGTAATGTTTTTCTGTAATACATATTGGAACTATACAGCTTTTTCAGTTTTTGACAATAACTGGAGATTGTAGGTGGTTTCTGTAATTTTTTATGCACAGATTGTGTTGATCTTACAAATTTGTATGCTGTCTTCACAGCAGGGCTGGCTTTGGTCATAGCTGTGTTGATTAGTGCACCTCCTTTCTGAAACATACAAAAGCATATTTTAATAACCCTTATAACAAAGATTAAGTTAAGACAATAGCAAGAAAAATAAATGACAGGCTGACATAAAATAAAGTAGGAAACTAGTAGCCCTCTTTTTAAATTAGGAAAAATTTCCACAGCTGCATTCTATCTACAACCTGCTGTCTACATCTACACAAGGGTTACAGTATGTCATTATCATGGCTGACACATATTTATCAATGCATTCTAACATAATGACGTATTCTCATACCCATGCATGAACTGTTACCACATTACATGTAATATTGGAAGCTTTCCTTGGCTTATTCATGTATATATTGTATCATTTAAAAAAAACTATTTCTATCACATTGAGGTAATCATGTCTTATTTAATCACAAGAGTTTTGTCTAAAGTACTATATTTTACTAATCCTCCCTAGTAACAATGTTGTGCAACAAAGGTCCTCTGTTAGTCAGACTATGTAAAAACATTATTAACCAAACTGCTGTTTACTAGAAGTGATAAAATTCCTATCAAATCCTAGTACCACACCTAACTCACAGTTATGGAATGTAACACAATACAGTGTACAGAAAAATCCTTGGCTAGATGAACAGAAAAACATTCTGTGCTTTTCAAAATTTGGCATTTATTTTGTGCATGAGACATTTTCTCATTTTTAAACTAATATAAAAATATTGTCATGACAAAGACACTAGTTTATAAAAAAAATATTTAGGTAAAAATAACTTCCTTACTAGTGTAATATGCTTTCTCTGTTACATTAATACAAGGAACACTACACAAATTTAGAGAATGCGGCTAATTGACCATATAAAGTTAAATATCCTTTTAAAGCTCGATGTTCAGTATGCTGACTTTTCCAAAAATAAACAAACTAGTCAAATAAAAATAAAATTGTTATACCTTTACTGTATGCACCCACTGCTGATAAGATCTTGAATTTCCTGAGATGTGAAGGTAAAATAAAATAAAATGGTCAGAAACACATTCAACACATTTTTGGGTGTTCCTGCCCTCTCCACAATACATTTTGTATTAAAAAAAAAAATCCCATAGATTGTTAAACTTGAGTTTGAATCTTCCAATACTGTGAAGAAGGGAAATCCATGTACACAAAAAGCAAAACTGGGGTTTCCCTATTATGAACCCCTCATTTTCTTTCCAACAGTGCTTCTTTTTCACCATACCCAATTGTTTTCTCTGAAGAAAACTGCTAACTCTGATTCAAGTATGAAGAGAAAGACAGTTACCTGTTCCGTAACTGGCATTCTTCGAGATGTGTTGCTCCTGTCTATTCCACAGTAGGGGTGCGTGCTTGCCACGTGCACCGGTGCCGGAAGTTTTTCCCTTAGCAGCATCCGTAGTGGGGGAGCACCGCTGCGACCCCTGGAGTGGCGCCAACATATCGCGCTATAAAGGGGGCTGCGTGCTCCCCCCACCCTCAGTTCCTTCTTGCCAGACAACTCCGACAGAGGGGAAGGAGGGTGGGATGTGGAATAGACAGGAGCAACACATCTCGAAGAACGCCAGTTATGGAACAGGTAACTGTCCTTTCTTCTTCGAGTGATTGCTCCTGTGTATTCCACAGTAGGTGACTCCAAGCTATACCTAACGCAGGTGGGTAGGAGTTCTAAATGATAAAGGTTAAGGGTTACCCGGGCAGAGCACCGCCCTACCAAACCCGGCGTCGTCCCTTGCTTGGGAGACGATCGCATAGTGCGATGCAAAAGTATGGACAGAGGACCAGGTAGCAGCCCTGCAGATGTCCTGAATAGGGACATGAGCCACATAGGCCGCAGACGAGGCCTGGGCTCTCGTCGAATGCGCCTTAACAATAGGAAGCGGGGGAAGCCCAGCCAGGACATAACACTTGTGCGTATGCACGAGGTGATCCAGTGGGAAATCCGCTGGGTGGAAACCGGTTGCCCTCTCATGTGCTCGGCCGTAGCAATGAAAAAAGCTGAGAGGATGCCCGAAATGGCCTTGTTCGATCTAAGTAAAAGGCCAGCGCCCTACGCACATATAGCATATGAGGAACGCCGCCTACACTGGAGGAATGGGGCTTAGGACACAAGACTGGCAGGAAAATGTCCTGGTCCATATGAAACCAGGAAGTCCGGGTGCAGGCGAAGCTGTACCTTCCCCTTATGGAAGACAATGTACGGGGGTTCCGAGGTGAGCGCCCTAAGCTCCGAAATCCTGCGGGCTGAGGTGATAGCCACCAAAAACGCCACTTTCTCAGACAAGCGGGACCAGGAACAAGTGGCCAAGGGCTCAAAGGGAGGTCCTGTGAGGCGTGACAGAACCAGGTTCAGGTCCCAAGGGGGAACCGGGGGTCTAGTATAAGGGAACGCTCTGTCCAAACCCTTTAAAAACCTGGAAGTCATGTGGTGGGAGAACACTGACTGTCCCGCCACTGGAGGGTGGAAGACCGAAATGGACGCCAGGTGCACCCTGATAGAGGAGGGGGCTAGCCCTTGGGTCCTAAGGGACAGGAGGTAGTCCAGGACCAGCTGGAGCGGAACAGACGCGGGGCAGGAACCTCTCTCCCTCACCCATGAGGAGAACCGATACCACTTAGGCTACGTCTTCACTACCCACCTGAATCGGCAGGTAGAAATCGATCTCTCGGGGATTGAATTATCGCGTCTCGTTGGGATGTGACAATCGATCCCCGAATCGACGCTTGTACTCCACCAGCACAGGTAGGAGTAAGCGCTGTCGACGGGGGAGCCGCGGAGGTCAATTTGCCGCCGTCCTCACAGCGGGGTAAGATACGGCTCGGATACGTCAAATTCAGCTACACTATTGGTGTAGCTGAATTTGCGTATCTTAAATCGACCCCCCCGTAGTGAAGACATAGCCTTAGCCAGGTAGATCCTCCGTGTGGACGGCTTCCTGCTTTCGAGCAGGACCCGTCTAACGGCCTCGGTACACCTCCCCTCCTCCGCATCTAGCCACGGAGCAGCCACGCTGTCAGGTGGAGCGGGGCCAGGTTGGGATGGAGGAGACGACCTCCCTCCTGGGAGAGGAGGTCTGGGCGGAGCGGCAGCCTGCGGGGGGCGGGTGGGGGGCGCCAAGAATTGCAGTAGGGTTCTGTACCAATGTTGACAGGCCCAATCCGGGGCTATCAGGATAACTCTTGCCCCATCTGACTTCACCTTCTGTAGGACCCTGCCTATGAGGGGGAAGGGCGGGAAGGCGTACATCAGGGGCCCCGACCAATCAAGCAGGAACGAGTCCGTCATGGCCCCATTGCCTTCTATCACCCTGGAACAGAACCTGGGACAGAGGCAGTTCTGGGTGGTGGCGAATAGGTCCACCTGGGGAGTGCCCCACTAAAGGAAAATCCATTCTGCCACCTCTCTGTGCAGGGACCACTCGTGCTGATGTGAGAACACCCTGCTCAGGCGATCTGCGAGCGTGTTGCTCTCGCTGGGTAGGTGGAACACTCGGAGGAGGATGTTGTGGGCTATACAGAACTCCCACAGGAGTTGGGCTTCCTGGCATAAGGCCCTGGAGCGCGTGCCCCCTTGCCTGTTGATGTAATACTTTGCGGTGGTGTTGTCCGTGAGGACTCTGACCACCTTCCCTTGTAAGTGCTGGCGAAAGGCCAGGCACGCCAGGTGCACAGTCCTGAGTTCCCTGACAATTATGTGCAGGGTCAGTTCCTTGGGTGACCACATACCCTGGGTCCTGATGTCCCCCACGTGGGCTCCCCAGCCCAGGTCCGAGGCATCCGACACTAGATCTAGTGAGGGAGACGGGTCTCGGAAGGGGATTCCCCGGAGCATGTTGCTCGGAAGGGACCACTATTGGAGGCCTGCAACCACCGTTGGCGGCACCGTGACAATCTTGTCCAGGCCGTCCCTGGCCTGGGAATAGCGAGAGGCCAACCAGAGTTGGAGGGGCCTCATCCGGAGCCTGGTGTGTCGCACCACTGTGGTGCATGCTGCCATGTGGCCGAGGATTTGAAGGCATATCCAAGCCGTGGTTACCGGGAAGGCCGTGACCGAGGCGACGAGGCCTCTGAGCGCCTCGAACCTGTCCCTTGGAAAGGAGGCCATGGCCGCCTGGGAGTCCAGCAGCACTCCTATGAATTCTATGCGCTGGACTGGAACTAACGTGGTTTTCTCCTCGTTTACCACTAGGCCCAGAGCGGAGCAGGTGCGTAGCAAGAGGGATACTTGCTGCTGCACCTGGGACCGGGACTTGCCCTGAGCAGCCAATTGTCCAGGTAGGGAAAGACCTGCAGCCCTCTCCTCCTGAGGTGGGCCGCTACCACCGCCATACATTTGGTGAAAACCTTGGGGGCCGTCGAGAGGCCAAAGGGGAGGACCGTAAACTGGTAGTGGTCCTGATCCACCAGGAAACGGAGGAAGCGCCTGTGATGTGGAAGTAGGCATCCTGAAAATGTGGATGTGGAAGTAGGCATCCTGAAGGTCCAGCGCTGCAAACCAATCCCCTGGGTCTAGGGAGGGAATAATAGAGGCTAGGGATACCATGCAGAATTTGCAGCGTACCAAGAGCTGGTTGAGCTTCCGCAGGTCGAGGATGGGCTGAAGCCCGCCCTTCGCCTTCGGGATGAGGAAATACCTGGAATAGAATCCCTTGACCTGGAATTCCCAAGGTACCCTCTCCACAGCTCCCAGGGAGAGGAGGCACTGTACCTCCTGACCCAGGAGGAGCACATGTTCCAGGTCCTCTGCCGATTCCCTGGCCGGAGGGCAATTGGGAGGGGGCGAAACAAACTGCAACCTGTACCCCAGGGATACAGTGTTGAGGACCCAGTGGTCCGTAGTAATACGGGACCATTGCAAACGGAAGGCAGGTAAATGATTTGCAAACCTGAACTTTATTAACTGGGGGGGGGGGGGGTTTAACCTGGCAACAGGCCCGGTGACCCCCCGCAAGTAGTCAAAAACACCGCTTCCCTGGCCTCCTGGCCTTAGAGGGCCCCGGACGAGGGGCCAAGCGGGATTGGCATTGTGACCGGCGCCTCTGCTCCCGCTGCTTCTTAGGCGGGGGCTCATATCTACCCCTAGCCTGTGGAGCGGAGGTGTGAGGCCTGGGCTTGTCCTTGGCCGGCGGGATGTACAGGCCCAGCGTCTGCAGGGTAGTACGGGAGTCTTTCGCCGCATTGGAGGCCACCTGGAGTGCCGCTTTAGCCGCCGCACCCTCATCCACAAGGGCCCGGAACTCCTTCCTGTCCTTCTCGAGGAGGGAGGGCTCAAACTTGGCAAGGGACCCCCACAGGTTAAAATCATATCTGCTCAAGAGTGCCTGGTGGTTGGCCACTCTGAGCTGAAAGCTCGCAGACGAATAAACTTTTCTCCCAAAGGAATCCAGCCTGTGAGCGTCTTTGTCCTTAGGGGTAGGAGCGGGTTGGCCGTGCCTCTCTCGGTGGTTCACCGACTCCACCACTAGAGAGTTCGGAGTTGGGTGGGAGTATAAGTACTCGTGCCCCTTTGTGGGCACAAAGTACTTCTGTTCGGCCTTTTTGGAGATTGGACAGAGAGATGCCGGGGTTTGCCAGAGGCCAGTAGTAATATTGGCCACCCCCTGAATGGAGCAGGAGGGCCACACGCCCCGGCGTCGAGGAGGTCAGGACATTAAACAATGTGTCCGACGGCTCCTACATCTCCTCGGCCTGGAGCTGGAGGTTTGATGCCACCCTCCTGAGTAGCTCCTGGTGGGCCTTGAAATCCTCCTGAGAGACCGGAGGTGGTGGCGCCACGGAGTCGTCTGGCGCCGAGGAGGTCGGTGCCGTGGTGTCATCTGTACCCGGCTGTACCGCAAGCTCGACGTCCTGACCCGCGGCCCGAGTCGGTGCCGGAGGGTCGGCGCCCACTGCCTCGTCGCGGTGCCGAGGTGGTGACATCGGCTGGGCCTGGGATGCTCCCGCCACGGAGCGGGGTCCCGGTGCCCATTGGCACCACTGTCC